GAAATTAAATTAATCATGAATTAAATTTGCCGCTTCAGACGACTGGAACCAATGAGGAATAAGTGACAGACTCGCGAGATATCGATAGTTATCGACTTTAAGTGTATGTTCTGTTTAGAATAGGATATATAGTTTTCTTGTCGCTTGAATGCTTCTCCCACTCTGCTACCACGCAGCTCTTGCAGAAAATACTCTATTGGTTTCTTCGAGCAGCCATCTTGCAGCTCCAGGGAAGTCGAAAAATAAAATATTCTAAATGCGAATTTTACTTTACTCTAGAGACGCGAAAAATTTATGAAATTCAGAATTCATTTATTCATGATCCATTACGAATAAAATAAAACGGATGCTTAACTTTATTCTCTGGAGTATAACGAACATTTAAAAAAATCGTATGAAAAATATGGCGCAAGGAGCATTTTTAAGGTAAAAACAGAAAAGAATGAAATTTTTCGTGGTTATACGGGGTAAAATCGATCGGGTTCGCGATTTTCCCTGGTTATTCCTATACTCCTTCATATATCACAAACTGTTGAATGTATCCTAAGGTCCAGTGAAAACTTTTAAATTTCACTAACGTGTCCCCTTAAAAAATTATAAAAAAAAAATAAAATTGGTTTTTTGTATAAAAAAGACAAAGGTCACCCAAATTCACTCGAAAAATTATGTCTACTCATAGTTGCAATGTCTTTATGTCAGGTTTCAGTGTAGATGTAGATGTATAAAGATACACAAAATATATGGAGAACTCGCTAATTACATCAGGTGATGGGACCAGACCCGTTGAGTTTTTAATGAAAAATTGAGAAGATTTGTCTGTGATTGCTGAGACGTCATTCGAAAAATGGCAATTTCGACACATGGGATTTAGACATTGAAACTATTTTAATGAAATATGGGCTCTGGGTTACGTGAGCAGAAAAATACCGAGATCTGCGGCTGATGCAAGCGGTATTCCTGGCGCACAAGAAATTGCTTGGAACTCAAAAGATAAGAAACCCCTAGCTGAAATCATTTTTTCATTTGAACATTTGATCGTGAAATATGTAAAGTGCAACACATCTAGAGAGGCATATTCAGGTATTTCAGTCAAGGGGTCCTAATTTGCCAGAAACAAGCGGTGCATGTGTCCATAAATTCTGCTATGACTAACTTATGATGTTTGAAGCTATTTATACACTATTACAAAATTCTTGATGAGGTTCCGAAAGAACTTGAAGCAATGTAAAAATTCTTCCCCGACTATCCGTGATAATGTCCCATACGATGGTTCACATTTATTCGCGGTCTCTGTCCATATAATCGTGGGAAGGCTTCCGATATTATGCAATAGAATTTCTTTCATTGGGACGTTTTTTAACTGGCCCGTTATGTTTCAAAATGACATCTTAACCTAAAAAAGCCAATTGTTCGAGAATGTTTCTATTAGTAATTTATATTAAAAATATTATACAATTGAGTATCATTTAAGAAGGAGTATTGTGGTGATGACGATGACAGATACAGTATGCCATATCATTATCTAAAGTTATAGTTATAACATAGTAAATTATACGATATTCAGTATAGTAAAGTAGGGGATATAAAAGCCAGTGCGCCACGTGTCAGTAACAGCCTCTTTTTCTACATCGGTATGAAATTATCATTGGCCATCGTCAGTCATTCTATCATTCTCAACTATTGTCCGTGCTCATATTAACTACACAAAAATTATAATCGCTTTTCCAAAAAATCTTTATAAGTTAAAGAACATAATTTTGCTTAACATGACTAAAACTTTCATGAAGAAAAGGTATTAAAAAACAACAAAGAGACTGCTCTATGCTTTGAATTTATATGAGCGATAAACCTACCGATGACAGACTATAATAATTCTCTACTAAAATCTCCCGATGTTCATTTCATTATTTTTTCCACTTCCCTTCACCATGCTCATTTTTTCCCTTTTCTATCCATCTATCCCGTTCAAGTTAGTTTTTCTTGCTCTACATTTTTTCCATTCCATTCTCCAGTCTGACGATGCGACGCATAGGGATTTTCATTTCTTTCCCTTTCCAAGTTTCAGCGGTCGGGCGAGATGCTGATAAGTCGCGTCGCAAAGGGGAGAGTACTGTATAGAGGTATGCATTCTGCCGCGCCGGCGTTACGAAAGCCGCATCTCTGTGATATTGTTGAGGAAGGCGTGGTTTTAATGCGACGTCCACCCTCTCTCACCGATAAAATCTTCAGGCGCGTTTTCTATAGGTATTCCGGAAGTTTCGGCTTTAATATAATATGTCAGAATTTTTGCTTGCTTTCTTTCATTTGCTCTCTTACACTTATTTTGTTTTTTCTTATTATTGTTCTATTGATTAGAGCGGAGGATTAGAATGAATTTTTAGTGATTAATAATCTACAATGGACGCCACCGATAATTTTGAAAAATATAGTAATATTCAATCAGTTTCCGGAATTCGTGGAATTTCGCCGATAAGACACATTTCTTTATCTAATGTCTTAAATTAAGATTTCATGAGATATTCCTATATTTACCAATACTATTGCGTGTTATAGGGGAGAAGTGAAATTAAGTCCTTGCGAAATGAACACTTTCTACCCGAAAATAACATTGAGTTTGGCATCAGAGTACGACTCATGTCTCTTTCTATCCTATGAGGAATAATTGTTATATATGATGAGAGCATTGAATATGCATTTGGAAATTACATGGAAAATTTTCGTGGCGATTTCGAAAGTCATCATCGCAATCGTCCATCGGTTTGATTCATTCTGACGAAAGGTATCACAGATTGCCTAAAGAGTCATATTCTTGATACATGCACGAAGAAAAAAGGCATGAATAATTACGGTGCTAACACGGTAAAATGAGTACAGTTTCTCGAACCCGGAATAATTCACATACCAGCACCGGCATTTTTGCTACAGAAATTTATCTCGAACTTACCGCGAAAAAATCTTTGATGTTGCACCAAACTTTCTAGGGCTGGCTTGTGAATTTTTCCGGGTCCGTCAAAATGAACATATTTTAACCATAATTATGCATTGATAACAAATATGGAAGGTTTTAGTCGCTGTTACCGGGGCGTCTTAGGTATTAATGCCATTCATTAACTATTAACAACCGGCGTTGGCAGTTAAAAAGCCGCGTTCAAAACAACTAATTCCTTATATCAGTGTGTGGAGTGAAACCAGTTTATGAAAAGGAGTTCAAGATGCAGGAATACAAGAGCGACATTTATCGCGAAAACTGTACTCAGTAGTCCTTTTCCATTCGGTATTCTCAAATATTTCAGTTGCTCAACCATAGCCCGAAAAGAAGAAGAATTGTATGACAATTCTTAAGAAAAATGTATCGTCGAAACTGTCCAACAGTTTCTTCACCAGGATATTATTAACACATTAGTCATACTTCCTTATCTCATCCACTTTTTAATATTTTGGATAGGAACAGGAATGCGGAAACTTTGGCAAATCATACATAACTTCATTAGTGAAATCCAACTATTTGAAGACAATGGGACAAACTGCGTCATTCTTTCTTTGGAAAGGTTATGGAAAAATCTGAAAGTTCCATCAATTTTGTAGCATTGCTATTACATACACCAAAAAATACCTGAATTGAGTATAAAAAATACTTGATGCCGTTATAAAATATGTCCCATTCGGGTATTTTTCAACTATATGAAATTTCGAACCAATTCAATATGAATATGAATTGACGAAAAAATGTGCGATATATTGATGCCATACTTTATTAATTTAGAAATTAACTGGTTAAAATTTTGTCGATACTAAAATGACAGACGTCCAGTCATTATATTCACATTTACGTTATAGGCCACGAAGATAATAAAGTTTGATAAGGGATGTAGGGAAAACTGAAACGGGGCAACCCTACTCCACAGTACTCCTCCCAAAAGAAGGAGGGAAATACACCTAGTATATATATACAATCAAACGGGTGGTAGACATGGAGAATACTGAAGAGCGGAGGAGGAGAATGTTGTGTGGGCGTGGCTAGGTATTACCCCCGTTGATCGTGGATTGGCCAACGCGCTGAGAGGCATTGTCAAATAAAATCCAATCGTTGGAGCAAAGGAATTCGCATATTCCTCTGGAAGTACTTTTTTCCGTCGTTTTTCTCATTTTTTTCATCTCCTTTCTCTTCTGGTTATTATACCATCTAAAACTGTACGAGGATTTTCTCTCTCATTCTCTCGTACCCCACGACGTGCGTGGCAAAGGGAGTTTATATACCCAATGTCCCGTCTATTTACCCATTAAAAACGTATGCGCCTGCGCAGATATTCAACCATTTAGTTCTCTCCATTCTTCGGTGATTTTCAAGGGGTGTGCAGTTTCGTTTGATGGGAGTATGATTTTATTATAGCATTACCGAACCCAAGCCAAACCTCGAAATGCTTGCCTCATAGTCTACACTATTTCGAAGCCCATAAAGGTAGCGGCTTTTCGAAGGGAGAGCAAGATATGTATATCAATGGGTAGGGATAGGCTGATAAAAAGAGAGGAAAGAAATAAAATAACGGAAGTTGAGTGGAAGTCAAAGTCTTCAGAGTAGTTCTAACCCCCTTTTTTCACCTGCCACCCTGTCCATGCTTGTAGACTTACTAACTGAGCCTCCTCGTCTCCCCGGATCACAGAAAAGGGTGGGGAGGGGGAGTTCAACTAGAATATCATCCCTTCCCCCTCTACACATATCCATGAGATTTCTCTCTCACCTAACCAGAAACCTATTCATTCGACGCCCGTAGTCACAGCGTGAACGTCCCGTGTGCAAATCGTTGAATTTTTTACGTCTATACGAAGAATTTATTAGTTAACTGTGGTATGCTTAGCTCCAACTGCAAGTGTTTCGGAACATTAATATTGTTGTGGAAAAAGTATTGGTGGTGGTTGTATATAAAAAGATGTGTCGGCAAGTTGAATAAAAATCAATTCATTAATGTATAATTCTTCATTTGTGTTTGTGTGAAAGTGAAATGATACCCTCATCAGCCACAATGCTGAAGAACTTAGAACAACGTGCGGCATCCAATTTTCTAATGGAAAATTTGTTACAGAATAAAACGTCAAATGGCAGTGATTTTAGTTTGACGTTAAATTGGGCAGCCAGTTTGATGGCACGAAAGCGGGAAAACGAAGCGATAATTAGTACTAGTGAACATCTGTTGAAAAAACCAAAAAGGGATTTTGATCGCGATATTGATGATGAGACATTAGTACATGCCGATGGAGATTTAGAAACTGAAACTGAACCGGAAACAGATATTGAAATAACAACCGGATATCATGAACGATTATCTCAATTGCGAATCTGTAAACGATTAAAGTCGGATGAAATTCAAGAAAATGAGAGGTTCATAGGGGAAGATTTGAGCAGGGATTGGATGAGTTTTAATGTGATTGAAAATTCTTCAAAAAAAGCAATAAAAAATGACGAACGACTTGCCAACGACGAAGCGTGTAGTTTAAGTTGTGCCGATGATCAGTGTCAGAATCCATTGAGTACAACTCACTCATTCATCTCATCTGCTGCGGAATCCCGAGTCATTCAAGCAAAAGAAAAGCCAGAATTGAAGTTCGGTGTGAAAGCCATACTTGCAGATGATAACGACAAACGGCGAAACTCGGGTAATCACAAAAATTATAAAATTACTCAAATTTGATCAATGTTTTTTCATGTATAATTAATTTCGCTACATTTCTCTACCTTGGAAAAAAGTGCTTTGGTGTCATCTAACTATAGCACCAGAGGAGGTATTCACGCTCGAAACAAAGCTCTCGCTACAAATCAGTGTCGAGTCCAGATTCGCACACCCGACGCTCCCTAAATCTCATTGCCCCCACACCCTCAAGACAAGAGTCGCACAGCATGCGTGCGACTCCTCACTCACTCATTCTGCCTCCGGTGTATATAACATTCGACTATACTTCCTATTTCTATATATTTTCCATCTCTCTCTCTCTCTCCCTCTCTCTCTCTCCCTCTCTCTCTTCCACCATTCGTATACGTAACGCGAACGAGGTGCAGCCCCCGGAGGCCCTTGCGTGGCGTCAGCTGTTACGCCACTTAGCTTCACCCCTAATATTAAGCCCTCACCATTGGTGCCTTATCATGTATTGAACAAGCGCCAGAATTCAATGACATATCAAATATCCAAGAAGTTTCAATAATTACTGAATCCAATGAAAGTCGATTGAGAAAAAATACATATATTAAGCGATGATAGTACGGCGATAACGATAACAATACCAATAATAGGCCACTAATGCGGATAATGATATTATTAGCCATTCATTCACGAAGCTTTGCGACTGGTCACCGCACAGCGGTTTTCAGCTTGATAATTATATCACATACAAGATGCTCTAATAGAGACTGGACTTAGGAGCAAGAAAGCAAGAACTTCGTTAAAAGACATGTGACAAACAGTATATGACAAATTACATATGATTATGCATTATCAGTTGTCGTCTTTTTTTTATTGGTGTCAAGCCCATTATTCTAAGAACCCAAAATGCTGGATTCCGCAATCAAAGTGCCTTGAACTGAACAATGTGCCTAAATTTCAGTATCATAAGTACTAGATTTCGGTGAAAACTACTGAGAACTGGAACCTTCTTTCTGATTCTCAGGCAAAATTGTCTCAGAATAAACAGTAGTTCCACTGAAATCTGGGACTTTTTTTATTTTTGGATTTCAGTACGTTCTGGTACTGATATTACTGGAAACCAAAAACTTTTTTCCTCTGTATAAATCGACAATCACACAGCAACTCGACTATTAACTAGCCAATCTTCATGGATATATAGAAGTCAAAACAGCTTTCAGACATGAAAAAAAGTAAGACTATTATTATCTCGGTAACTTTATATGAACGGAAATATCTATTACGGCAGAACTACATAATAAAACCCTATCTTCTTACCAAAATTAAAAAACAACCGACAAAAAATTCATCGAGAATTCATTTTCAGCTGTCATCTGGAGATATAAATAGACAGCCACAACCTAGAAGTGACACCACCAATGTAAACTAAGGAATCGAATGGTATGAAAGCACCAACTGAATCGGAACTGTTCTGTCATAATATATTAAAATAACTTCGGTGTTCAAAACACTTCTTACAGCGTCAGAATATCAGAAATGAAGTCAGGAAATTTAACAATTATTCATGAGAATATATTTACCATTAGAATATACATCCCATCATGTTAAACAGACGAACTCCGATAGAATTTGCAGTAAAAGGTCGTCATGAATTGAAATAATGCAGAATAGCTGTAACCCATCAGTCATGAAATACAATAAATATAAAGTGACACTAAGTGCCACTCTATATTTCTTCTTCTTCTTCTAATTCTTCTGGTAGTTTAGTTTTTTAGTGAATAAGCCTTAGCTGATAAATAACCCTGAATATTTGAGAAGTTTTAACCCATATGTGGGCATACTTTAACACCACCATAATGTTTTCTTGGCAGAATACGAATACATAATGAATGACACTTGATGTCTAACACACGCAATGAATTGGAATACTTTGGAGTTGCACAGGCACTTTAAGTTGTGACACACTGATGAAAATGGACTCAGTTAATTCATATCTTGGTGTTTGCTGTATATTTCAATAAAACATTATCATTTCCATAGGTTGAAATCACTTTTTCCGGTACAATTAATCCAAGAACGATCACTAATTACACTGACGCTTTTTCCTCTTCCACGTATCAATAAGATACACCTCTTCCAAACACATTGGCATATGTACAATAATGAACAACACATTTGTGTTTTCAACATCCTGACTACTGCTAAAAATTACGAAAGACTGAATGAATCCACAACTGAAATATCAATATAAACCCAGGCGAATGTTATTTCATTATACACATGTCGCGTTTCATAGGTAATATTGTATTCGGACATCAATAAATTGAGTCACTATCGGAATGTGCACATCGGCAAGTGCACGCGAGTTTTCTCCACAAGATGGGATGGGATGGGATAGGTCAGTCAATGAACAAATGGAAATTACAATAATTCGACGGTTGATGTAAACTGGATAAGTCGACAAAAAATGACCCCCCCCCCAAAAAAAAAAACCGTTTAAGTTGTAGCCGTTCTCCGACCCTAGTGGAGAATCCAAAATTATTGAGACCGCTAATTACCGATGGCGGCGCTCATTTTCATCAATATCCGCCATTCATAGGTGGCGTTTTGATATTTAGCGTTTCCAATAGCGTTACATACCTGATCAGAATCTGATATGATACCTTGATCAGTGTCTGATCAAGACCTGACTAAAATTTCCACTCGGGTTGATCATGTTACTCATATGGGATTCGTGTACTTTAGATTCTCCAAATTGATAATTTCAATGAATATAAATATAAGATTTTCCTTTGATATCTTCGTTGCTTTACATACGACAAAAAATTTACTAATCATGAATTTATATATCGTATTATATTTAAAAAAATTATTATTTATGTTAACCAATAAGCGATACGTTTTATTGGAATCCCAAGGAGTGCTGGTGAAGAGCCGACACTCCTGGTGCTGGTTTAATCGTCGCCGACTCATGAGATCACCATTTCACCAGCGTGATCCAGGACTCACGAGAAGGACGCGTGGCTGGTGAGATCCCAAAGAAGCCTGTGCCAAAAATTTGTTCATGATAATATTATTTGGTATAACATTTCGTTCCTGTGCCGATTTGTACGTGTAATATTCTTGAACATAAATATTTAGAGGTATAACCGAAATTATGAGTTAGAGAGGAAGGCGGAACAAAATGGTGATAAAATTTCATTTTTCATTGAGGTTTGGTAACGTTGTGTGGGAAGAGTAATAATAAGGGTCAAATGAAAACAATTCGTACCTTTCGAAATAGAAAAAAAATAATTCCCATACGGTTAAAAATCTAAGACCCAAAGCCTCGTTCTGACTCGAGAAACATTTGTAAATATGATGGTTTGATCCCCATCCTTAGAAATGCCCTAAATTGAATTTTTCGGTAGTAATTACTAGGATAGTTACCGCTTTATGGTTGACTTGCAAAAAAATGATAATTGTCCCTCATACACTATTATAACAAAACGTTGACGTTTATTTTTTTTACTCTCCAATTACTCGTTACGGTTTGATCAAATTTCAGCTTTCTATCTCAATTTTTTCTAGCGTTATCGTGTTTACACCGATTTTATGACAAAACAGAAATATGCCGATTACTACCAAGTTTTCCCTGGTTAGGTAGAAATATTATGACTTGATTTGATACATATTACCATTAGGAATATTTTGACGTTAAAAAAATTCAATTCAGTCGAGTATTATTTCACAAAATTTCAGATTTTTAGCAACGACTTTACTCCTTTTTCCGTGAAGATTTATAAGAGAATTCCGAAAAATCCGCACACGCACGCTGACATACACACGCATGTTCTAAAAATATCATGTTTTGACGTTTCATGACATTCTACATCATTTCCAAGCAAAATTAGAAGATCGTAAAAATCGACGATTACCAAGCTCCATTCGGAAGCAAAAATCCAGAGCAAGCAGCAGAGACCGGCAACCCGAACAAACCTCGACAGCAAGTCACATGAGAATTCTCATGCCTTGTGATGACGAGAATGTTATTCCAAACTCCTTCCAACAGCGTTATTCTAGCGTCATCGTCTCCAGGGAGTTACTGCTGTCCGCGGGCTCAGGTTTTCCGTCGGATTGCTCTCACAGGAAAGAAAGGGGTCCTTCACTCCTTTCTTCAAGTACAGGATTTTTGTCTTACTTCGCAACTTTTTATTCGTCCCGTAATGTTAGTGTGTGTCGTACAGCGTCGAAAAATCGAATGCGGGTCGGCCGACTCGATTTTTGCGCTCGATCCGAGTGAGCGCTCGCTTCTTCAAGGCTGTTCAAATTACGACTTCGAAATCAAGGATGATAAAAGAAGGGTAAAAACCATAGCATAGCATGCTATGAAAATGATATGCAACAGATATTAACCTGGAAAGGTCCCCAGACGTACCTAACGATTTTTTGCTTTCGAATGGAAACTTCAAACATACAATTTTTTTCGATTCTCTACTTTTGCCTGGATATGACTCAGAGTGATATGAAACGTCGAGATTTGATGTTTTTTAGACGATGTGTGTATGTATGTGTGTGCTTATGTGTCTATGTGTGTGTTTGTCCAGAAGTGTGTTAATAAATCCGGAACAGTAATTACAGAAAAGCGGAAATTTTAACTCATAGTTGGAGCTAATGAAGCACAAATCTGTGAAAAATTTCAGCCCGATCGGTTGAGTAGTTCCTGAGATATAGCAATTTCTCAAAAATCGTTTTTCGCAAATATCTCCGGGGTGACTGGATCCATTTTAATTTTTTTTCAAATTTTCGTCACGATAATACCTATCTCGAGGCATGAAATGGAAAATTCAGTTTTATTGTCATTTTTTCATTTTTTCGACAAAATTCGTTACCACGATAACTGAGAAAATAATCGAGATAGGAATTTCCAACTTCGTACACTTTTAGGTCTTATGACAACAATGTTTGGTTTGTGAATGGGCGAAATCGGCGGCGTAGTTTCGGAGATATTCAACTTTGCATACGAAACTCTTTTCTTCA